CCGCTAACCTTGACCACCAATATCTCCCCAGGTGCTGAAGCTGGACGGCGTGGCACGCAAGGACAGCAAGGGCGCGACGGCGGCGAGCAGCGCCGCGAGCAACCTGAGCATGAACCAGACTCTGGAGGGGCACAGCGGGGCGGTGCTGGTGACGTGCTGGAACGAGAACTACCGCAAGCTGACCACCAGCGACCAGCAGGGGCTCATCATCGTGTGGATGCTGCACAAGGGGATGTGGTTCGAGGAGATGATCAACAACCGCAACAAGGTGCGCACGATTCCGGCTAAAGTGTCCGCTGTGGAGCCCGCTAGGGGTGCCAATATGCATGCCCGTCCAGTTGCGCATTCTGACCGACTTTTGCTTTGCGCTTCGGATTGAGTGCAACCAAGACGCGACGCTTTCATTGTCGCGCCTAGGCTGTGCCCACTTGAACAAAGGATTTGCCCATGAGATGGGTCTTCAGAGCGATCTAGTATCCATCCCGATGCCGTCGCTCTCCAACTTCTAATCGCAATGGTCTCTTCAATCAAACAGTCACATTGGTCCCGTTGCAGAGCATCGTGCGCGACATGCAGTGGACGGCGGACGGCCAGAAGATCTGCATCGTGTACGAGGACGGCGCGGTTATCGTGGGGTCCGTGGACGGCAATCGGCTGTGGGGCAAGGAGCTCGACCTGCAGCTCGCGCTCGTCGAGTGGTCGCCAGACGGGCGGCTCATCCTCTTCTGCACTGTGCAGGCAAGCGCCGGTGGCTGAATGGAATGATGTGTCAGCGAGGGAAGCGCAAGCACGAGGTTGAGAAGGGACCGGTAACGAATTGGAAATATGTAGCGGAGCGCCAGCAATATTGTCTCTAAGAAGAGCAACAGCTCCTGACTTCTCTTAGCAACGCCCATGGCAGACCCGCAGCTGCTTCTGCGCAGTTTTAATGGCTCCACGACCAAATCACAGAACCAGTCCTTCTTCGGCTTCAGAAAATAAGCAAATATCCTCTCTCTCGCAGGGCGAGTGCCACGTGCACGACAATATCGGTAATCCACTGACGAAGCTGCCGCTATGCGTCCCGGAACAGCCCCCCGGGGCCATCCCCATCATCGGGATCGATTGGTACCACGGCCTGGAGGGCTACACCGACCCGAATGCGCCCACGCTCGCGGTCGCCTTTGAGAACGGCAGGCTTCAGGTGCGGGTCGCGAATCGGCCGACAATTTCGGTCTTTCTTTGCAGAGACTCTTCGAGATTTTCCACGACGCCAAGGTGCACTGATTGTTTTCCAGTGATTGCAGCATAGGTTGAAGCACGACGTCGCTAAACCGTGCATGCCTTTACGTGTTCAAAACATCTACGATCCTCAAGCAACTTAAGGGTTCTGGCTAGCTCCGAAACCCATTTTCTGCGGCCCCCCTGGTTCAAGTGCTCCAGTTCGGAGGTTCGGGTCAATGCAACGAAGATCCGCTCACCCGTTCGCTTTATCAAGGTCACTCTGAAAGGGCCTGCAATGATTAGTAAGGAAGCTCGGGGCGTAAAGGTGTGGATAGCAATCCAGACGTCCACAGCAGAAGAAAAAGAAAGAAACAACGAGGAAAAGAGACAACCGACAGATTTGCTGTGCAGTTGATGCGGCACGAGGCGGACGAGGAGCCGCTGCTTGTGAATTGCGGCATGCGCGCGGCGCGGATTGCCTGGAACTCCAATGGAACCGTGCTGGCCGTCTCCGGAACGCTGCCGCCCGGAACGAGCGACGGCAAGGGCGACGCTAAGGAGACGCCCGCCGTGCAGTTCTACTCCAACCAAGGCAAGCTTCCGGCGTGCCAAACCAGTCCGGTTACATCATCGATCCCGGCTGTGGTTTGTCCGAGCTGACACCAGCTCTCACAAGCTGAGGTAATGTTGGGAGGGGACAGCCGACTTTGGCTTGTCATGCAGTATAAGTCTTTTGCTGCATACAAGCGGCGCCCCCACCTGATTGTCAGCTCTTTTAAAAACCAGAACCGCTGGCTCTATTCTTTCAAGGCGTCAAACAGTTTCGCCCTGCTTTCCTTCCTCAAAGAAAGGTTGATATCGAAAGCGGCAGACCACACTACCTTTCGAGGTGCGGTGAGCGCCCGTCCTTTCCCCAGAACCCCAAAACCCAAACCCTTAAACCCCCTCTGTAAAGGCGCGCAACCTAGCTGCTAACACCCCAAGACCCCCGCAGGCGCGCTCCTGCGCACGCTCCGCGTCCCGGGCTCCGGCATCGCCTCCCTATCGTGGGAGGGCGGCGGCCTGCGGGTCGCGCTCGCGGTCGATTCCTTCATCTACTTTGCCAACGTGCGGCCTGATTACAAGTGGGGTTACTTCAACAACACCTGCGTGTACGCGCACGTCAAGGCGGACCGCTCCGAGCAGTGCGTCACATTCTGGGACACCGGGAGCAACGAAAAGTGAGTGGGCGCGCGCGGTTTAGGCTTCCGTTTATTTGTTATTGTCTGAAGAACCTGGATTGTGAGGGCACGGGTTTCGCGGAGGGAGATAGTAACTTGCTTGCATCGGCACCGCCACTTATCTGAATCATTAACCATAGGGAACTGCTTTTCATTGTCTGCTCTCTGCTCGGAGCGGGGTGCTTGCATCGCGATCCTTGCAAGGGTGCAAATGACTTCTTTGCAGCAAAAGCTTGCGCGAAGATTGCGAGCATCGAGCCGCCTCTGAGTCGCGCTCAAAGTTCTCGGTCTTTTGGCGCAGATACTGCAAGTACGTTCAGCGGCTGATGGGCATCCGCGCCGCCGGCGACCACTGCGTGCTGGCCGCCAGGGGAGAGGACGCCGGGCAGTACGTGGTCGTGCTCTGCGACGCGATCGGCAGCCCGCTCGAGACGCGCTACATCGACGTGGAGCCGCGCCACATCACGATGACGCAGGCAAGGTTGCGGGAATCCCGTATTTGTTGTCGAACGTCTTCTATGGTTGGGATTTGGAAATCATGTCTTTCAGGTGCTTCCAAGATTTTCGCAGATGAATAGCAGCGGGATGTGAGGGGATGTAATGTTTGGTTATGTGAGCGGTAAGGTTGGAGCGAGCTCAATGGCCAATCGTATTTCTTCGGGACGTTGCATTTCGTCCTGCACCTAAGAGGTGGCATTAACATCTTAAAAACCTGTTCAAAGAGCTGTGTTAGTCGTGGATTATGCACTTGGAATGGCACCGGGGACACTTTCAAGCGGTGTTAAAAGCCATGAGGTTGTGGGCCGCGAGAAATGCTTTGGGCGCGTACCTCTAGCACAGTTTACGGATTTTTCGCAACTACATCATTCAGACTTCCGGGGGCGCAATTGTCGCCCAAACGTAGCTCTTCACGGTCAGGGCTGGATGCCCGCGTCTCCGAAAACGAAGGTCAAAGGCTGCAAAGAACTGCGAGATCCAATCAGTCAACCGCCCTCGTTGTTGCGCAGACCCTCTTGGCGGTGGCTTCCGAGGAGTGGGTGTGGGCCTGGCAGTACCGGTCCGCCCCGAAGGGCGCGAACGCGGCCGCGGATGCCGGCGCGGCTTCTACGTTGAAACCGGGCAAGGAGTGGAAGTTCCGGATCGATGACGTGGCAGCCAGGCGGAGCTCGTCGATGGACGTAAGCGAGGCTCTCTGTTGAATAGAGAAGGATGCTACAGGATCCCCGGACTGCCCGCAAACGTTGCTGGGGCAATTGTGAGCTGAATTCTTGACAACGAGTCTGACCGCACAAGACATTGCTCGCTTGCGGAGTCTGTATGGAGGAACGGTCAGGTTGATACCCGAGCTTGTCGACGAAAAGGCGGTTAGCGATAACGTGTCGCAAAGCTTTCAGCCCCATACACTTCACAGCGAGGGCCTTGCCCCAATGGTGTGACGGACATCATTCTGCTTTTTCCAGGACAACCTTAACCGCAGAATCTGGACCATAGCAAGAACCCGTGGTGACAAAAGGCAGTGTGAGCTGAGAGTAATAGACGGGAAATCTCTAGAGTGTGACCGAGTTGTTCCAGGAATACTCGATTCTGAACCACTTGACTTTCATCGGTGGTGTCTTCACCAGCGGGCCCCCTCTTTTCGTTGCAGACCGGTCCGGATTTGGCGGCGTCTACGGCGGCCGTAGAGGACCCCATCGCGTGCCTGTGCGCGTCCGACACGTGCCTCGTGCTGGGCCGGGCGTCCGGAAGCGTCCAGCACTACTCGCTGCCCGCCATGAACCTGCAGGCCAAGTACGCGCTGCGCGGCAAGCCGCAAGGTGCGCGCGCGGCCACCATTTCCGGCTTAGAATCCGTATCAGACCACCGAATGGGAAAGTCATGACCTGTGGGGAAGTAGAGTTTGAGCATGGTCTCAAAGAAAGCCAATCATTTGATCTTCTTTGCGTACATGGAGCAACTTGCTTAACCAACAGCAGTAGGGATCACTTTCTGGTTGATGTTTTGCCTTTACTTTCAAAACTCAGCCATCCGGAGGGTCCTTTTCCCTCCGTCGGCGAAGATCAAAGATGAGTTTAGATCACGTTTGCTCAGATAAAGTTGATGTAATGACAAGAGTGATTCGTTCCTTCGCTCGATCAAACTCTAATTCGCTTTGGCATTGTCGGATGCCATGACCCCTGTTGCCCCGCGTTGCAGCGCTTGCGCTCAACTGCGAGTCGACCCGCATGTCCGTCATCGACGCGAACGGAGTCCTCACCCTGTACGACATCGACGGAAACGACAACGCGGCGGTACGTCGCCATCTATTACTTTCATTGAAGATGGTGGCCTGGAGCAACGTGCCAGATGGAAGTATGAAACAAATGGAAGACCTACACTAAGACATTACTTACGTCCGAAGCGCTTCCTACGTTTCTTGGGCTTATGCCCTGTATTCCGGGAAGTCAATAAGCATCTGGATCTGTTCGGGGACTTACTGCAAGAGTATGACGGGAGAGGGTCAGCTTTTTGTCAACTCTGCAAGTCCCACCGCACAAAGATCGCCGCTTTCAACACTTCCCACCTCAGTCTGCTTACCCTTGTAATAACCTTGCCCGTTCCGTTCCGCAGGGTGGTTCCGGCCGGCTGGTGGCGGACTTCGAACGGAAGGACGTGTGGGACATGCGGTGGGCGGACGACAATCCGGAGCTGCTGGCCGTGATGGAGAAGGCCAAGATGTACATCTTCCGGGGGACGGACCCCGAGGAACCGGTCAACTCCACCGGCTACCTCTGCACCTTCACCGACCTAGAGGTGGGCGCCTAGGACAAACCATCGGTGGTTGATAGTCAAGGGAGATTTGCGGTATCATCGAGGAATGGCAGGAAGCGGGCCGCCTGTTACGAGCTGCTTTTAACAAGAGTTCAAGACCGCTTTGCGTCCAAGTAAGGTCTTTTTTCGGCGAGCAAATAGGGACTCTAAATATCCAAGCAGGCTGTTCGTCTTCTGCAGACCGAGGTGTTGAAACTAAGACATGGGTAGGCAAGAAGCACTCGGTAGTGCGGTTTCCTGAACCGCTTTTCAGCGCCTAGGCATTTGCAGTTGCTCGCTTTCGTTCTTCATTTTTACGATGTTCCGCTTACCTGACCTCTCTTTCAGTCAAGGTCGTCCAGCCAGGATCGACTCCATTCTCATTCACGACTTGCAATCATCAGAAGTACATATCGGCAAGCGCAGTGAAGAAATTTCAATCCGTGGTAGTTCTGGTGTAATCTTTTAAGGCTGCTTTCCCCGCCAGATCAAAGCCGTTTCGCTGGAAGACATCATGCGCAAGCCCGACGCGCCGGAGGGCGACCACCTGTTGCATCTGGAGACGAAATCTTTGCGCGATCTGCGCGCGATCTTGGCGGACGCGAGTCTGGCGGACTCGTACCAGTTCGTGGAGGAGCACGCGCACCCGCGGCTGTGGAAGCTGCTGGCGGAGCACGCGCTGGAGAAACTAGACTGGGCCACCGCCGAGAAGGCATTCGTGCGCGTGCAGGACTACTACGGCATCCAGGTGCGCACGCATGCAGCATGTGCGCTGGCTGTCGAGAAAGGCGCTGGCGGAATTTGTGATTTGCAAACACGAAGAGTTCGTTTGAGGGCTGATCTGCTTTCCCCATCTAGGAGTTGTGAAAGTTCCTCTTACGCCTCTGAGAAGCACATACTGACATTTCCTGAAGATTGTAGAAGATTGAGAACCCACCCGTGAGCCTGGTGCTTTGCACAAGAAAATAAAAGCCCCGTTACGAGGCCTTGGGGACAGAGCGGCAGCCAAGCATCAACTCAGCTTTGAGTTTGAAAATTGCACTTAGCAAGGCTTCTTAGTCGTCTCCTCAGGCCTGTCCGAGGAGGAGCAATAGCTCCGAGAACAGAAGGTACGCTTCCGGCCTTGCGGCTCAGCTTCCGAGTTCGCAGCTAACGGCGCGTCCCTGCTCGCGCAGTTTGTGAAGCGGCTGCAGCTGCTGGACGAGCGCGAGAAGCAGGCGGCGGAGGTGGCGGTGTACTTCCGGCGCTTCGACGAGGCGGAGCGGATCTACGACAAACTGGACCGGCCCGACCTCGCCATCCAGCTGCGCTCCAAGCTGGGCGACTGGTTCAAGTGAGCCCGGCACTGGAGCCCTATGTTGTGGAATAACAGGGATCCTGGCTCCCTGGTTTGGAATATCACGTGCTGCGGCCCACAATGGCTTGGTGAAGATGGCCTGATTCGGAACAGCGCTGCAATTGGGACGTGACAACGTCGCGTTTCTAGGAGTTTTCTGTCCAATTCGTAGAGTAAATTTCGAGGTTAGCAAGGCTTCGTTCCATTCACGTTGACATCCGCACATCCGAGCGCAACCGCTAGCATCGCTAACAGCTTGCACACACTTCACCGAGCTGTAGCCAAGCAGTAAGATGCTGAAGTACTCACGGTGGGATTCCAGGTGATTCAGGGCAACGACATGTAGTAGAGTGATCACCCGACTTTACCCGCAGAGTGGAGAAGCTGCTCCAGGCGGGCGGCGGCGACGACTCGCAGCTGACCACTGCCTGGAATCGGATCGGCGACTACTACACGGACCGCCAGAAGTGGGGCAAGGCCGCGCAGTACTACGCGCAGGCCAAGAACACGGAGGCGCTCGTGCAGTGCTTCTACGTACTGGAGAACTGGGCGGGCCTGGAAAAGCTGATTGCGACGCTGCCAGAGGGCAGCCCGCTGCTGGGCGTCATCGGGGAGCGGTTCGCGAGCGTCGGCATCTGCGAGCACGCGGTGAGCACCGGGGTTTGGCGGGGGTTTAGCAGAGGTTTGGCAGGGAGTTGGCAGGGGTTTGGCGGCCTCGATTGATTGCGGGCCGAAGTCGGCGATGGGCCACAAGCACGGCGGTAATTTAGCGATGAGTTTTAGGCTTTGATTGAAAGAATAAGGCCGCCAACGCGTTCCTGAAAGTATGTGCAATCAGTCCTCAAATCGTTTCCAACGGCCTCTTGCAGGTAGGCAATAACCGCTTGATTGGCTTGCACTGGACCGAGAACCCCTCCTAGAGTCTCTCCTCTCCGTTCTCCTTCCTTTGAGACGCAGAAGTATCATCCCAAACCGCTCCTTTGTGCATTGAAATCCGTTTCTCTTCCTGCTCAGACGACGGCATTTTTGCGCGCGGGCGACGTGAAGGCTGCGATCGAGTGCTGCGTGGTGCTGAACCAGTGGGACCGCGTTGTGCGGCTGGCGGAGCAGCAGCGGTCGGGCCACATCGAGGCGCTGCTCGCCAAGTACGCCAACCACCTGCTGGACAAAGGGAAGCAGCTGCAGGCAAGGCGCAGAACTGCTGGCTCTCGTGTCGAGTTCTTTTGTTTTGACCGCAGAAAATCTTTCTTGAGGAGTCAAAAGTCCAGTGAAGCGTTTTCGGAATGAACAACTTCCCAGGGTCTTCTAAAATTGTGGTGACGTGGGTTTCTCGCGGTTTTTGGTAACATGGTATACGTGAGTGCCATGACGGACGCTTACCATGTAGGGTCTGATCTAGGATTCTCGACCTTCCAAAAGATGTTGAAATGCATGTGCTTTCTGGCCTTATGACCCAAGTCGCTTGGATTTAGTAAGGCATCCATTTGCGGAGTTCATAATTGCGACGAGAACGCAATTTCACTCATCTGATTCTGACTGTAATCTAGTCCAAATGATTTCTGCAAAGAGGAGCCTGGATTGTCATTTCTGCAAGCCCATGGTCCTGACAAGTCGCGATGTTTGTTTCCAGGCAATTGAGCTGTACCGCCGCGCGGACCACCACTCAGACGCGGCTCGCCTTCTGAGCGCACTCACGCGGGACGCGGCCGCGGCCAAGGCAAGCCCGCAGAGGGTTAAGAAACTGTACATACTGGCCGCTCTCGAGGCGGAAGAGTTCCGGAAGAAGACCCTGAGCCTGCAGGTAAAGGAACCTTCAATTGTCTGCAAAGACTGAGTCATTTTGCGGGGCAGCGCTGTGTCGCGTGATTGAAACCAAGCGACGGTGCAACGACGGGAAAGCTTCGCGTGCTTGCAAACCGCCGCAACGATGAACTTAATGGGCTTCCTTCACTTCACCGCCTCAAAATCACGAACTTTCGCTGTGTGAATGACGAGCCCAACATCAATCACCATGCCGCAGTAATCACCACGGAACACGGCAAGCCAGGAACAGTAAAATCCAGAGTTTCAACGTGTCAATATTCCGGCCCCCCTGCCGCAGGGTTCCGCCGGAACGACCAAGTCGGCAGCGGCCGCAACCTTGGAAGGTTTGATCCAGCACGACCAAGCCACGGGGCTCGACCGGTCGCTCGCGGGCGCGTGGCACGGGGCCGAGGGCTGGCACCTCTGGCTGCTCGCGCACAGGCAGCTCTACGCAGGTACGCGCGGCGGCAGCAAAGAGAGCGCGCGCGCCCATCGAGCGCTGCCCATATGCATGCGCGTCGCAATCAGAGCAGCAATATGCACCTTATTCGTGGCTTCCTACTCGAAGCGTCGGGGCATGAGGAGAAATGGCGCTCAGCCTTGCGGGAAGCTGCTGAAGGCGAAGAGGCGGCAGGAATGGGGCAAACGTCTTCGAGAAGCTGACAGTGCAGTACAGATAAAACTATTCTCCTCAAAAGTCGAGAGTTCCTACAGATCTCAGCCAAAAATCATTGTCTAGCGTGTTCTACTTGTTTCTCCCCCCGGCGAAGGAGGCGCATCAGTATCTGTCTCGTTAGCTTGACTGATCTCCTGTCAATTCAGTCAGTAAGGCCTGGTTCCGAGCAGACTTCGACCCTCACGCAGGCAACGCGGACGCGGCCATGAAGACCGCGCTGCGCCTCCACGACTACGAGGACGTCCTCAGTTCCGTCGACGTCGCGTCCCTGGTCGCCCTCACCGCCTTCTACAGCCGCCACTACCAGCAGTGCTCACAAGCCTTCATCCGCCTGGAGTCACACCCCGACCTCCCGGCTGCTAAACAGGAAGCGTTTGCCGACTTGGCTTTGAACATTTTCGCCGACCGGGAGCCGGAGGATCCCTTGGGCAGGGCGCAGGCCTGTCCGCTCTGCCGCGGGCCGGTGCAGGTGCGCGCATAATCTGCTTGAACTTGTGCATTCTGAAGCCGCGTTCAAGGAAACATAGAACTGTGGATTTTGTCTATCCTTGGGGCCTCAAGTGGTGGGTCAGTAGGCTTTCACAATACGAGGCCTCGTCTTGCCTGATCAATCGTGTCAGCACGTAGCAGGTTCCTCGTCCCAAAGCTCTCAATCCTCCTCTTTGGCCGACTGCTTGTCCATTTTCGGCTGATTAACGCTCAGTCGTCCGTCGAAATTCACTAGGAAGTTATGCAAAGCGTGATCGAGGGAGTGCTTTTCAGCTAAGAGTCGAGGGCAAGTCCCTTACAATCAACAGATACATTCATAGGTTGCTTCTCAACGTTCTTACGCAATTTGCTAGCAATTATTTACCTGAGCTGACCTTGCGACACGTGCTCTCGCAGGATTGGTCGAGCCGCTGCCCGACGGAAGGCTGCGAGGCGACCTTCCCGGTGTGTGTCGCGAGCGGGCGGTCCATCATATCGGAAGATAGAGTCAAGTGTCGGACATGCAAGCACCTCATGATCCTTTCGGAGCTGGGCACCACGCAGAGCTGCCCACTGTGTCATGCGGCGCTCGATGAGAACAAGCAGAGGACGTCCCATCAAAAGCTGTCTAAAAGCATGCGATAACGGTGCCTGTGCGGAGGCTAGTGCGTTTGGGCGGTCTTGCAATGAGTGGATCCGCTCTTTCTGCTTTCAGAATGCACAGTGCACTCGCGCGGTGCTTGATCATTTGGAGCCCATTTCTGGATCTCGTGTCCACGTCACGGCGTTCTCCAGCTTGCCGTGCAGCATTTGCCAGAGGCGATATCCCTGTATCTATCCCGACGCACGCAGCATAGCTGCGCGCAAGTTGCTGTATACGCGTCCGTCATTCAATGTTTCATACCTGTGATCCGATGCCGGATCCGAACGGATAAGATGGATCGACACTTCTTATTATGAACTATGCTCGAGGTATGCGTGGGACCGATCGACAGGGACGCTGTAGTACAACGATATATGACGACAAAGTTCCGGCCCATGTATTCTAATCAAGTTAGCCAGTGTGCAACCAGACCCGGGCGAGATGCTTTGATCCAATCAGTTCAGTTGTTCGGGACGTACATCGATGACTGCGAAATGAGTAAGGTGTTCGAAGCACTTTAAGTAGTCAAAGGCAGAAGGAAATTCATGACAGCTCAGATTCCTCGTTTTGAGAAACCGATGTGTACTCATGATAGAGTCGTATAACTCTACGTACTTGTTCCAGGTAAAGAGTGTTCATGATATAGACCTTTTGGTGACCATTTCAGTTGACAAGACAGGTTGAAAACCTCAAAAGTGGTCGAAGGCGGGTCGAAGGCAGGGAGCAATTCATGACAGCTCAGATTCCTTGTATTGAGAAACCGATGAAGATGTACTCATAATAGAGTCGTACAACTTTACGTACTGTTCTAGGTAACGAGAGTTCATAGAACTTTTAGTGACCATGTCAGTTAACAAGACAGGTTGAGAACCAGTTGCTATTTCGTCTTGACATGCCTGACCCTATACAGGCCATGATCGAAGGCTTAAAATTGATATGTTTCTCAGGCTGTAGAAAAGCTTGTGGAGAATGCTTGGAAGACCAAGCAGTGGACAGATTGTGCTAGCAATATAATGCTGTAATATCTCTTCGTGGATCGCACTTTTTAATGATCTGATCTCCAACAGCCTGCTGAATTTCTGGAACATTCGAGGACTATTAGAGTCGTCCTTGCTGGTGCCAATATCGCTTTCAGCCCCTGACTATGTACACGACCTTTCCGACGGATCTGAATCTTTATTACGAATCCTGTTCCATCGCCCTTTCAATCTTTCCTAGCAGTGCAGAGGGCATCCTTTATCAACTTGACCTCCCGCAGGCCGCTACTTTTGCAATCGTCCAGGACGACCATCTCCACTTTCCTGAGTTCCGTTCGGAGGGCATGGGCATGGGCGCTCAGGTCGACAAAGATGGGACTGCCAGCGTCGTCCACTTCTGGACCAGTTCCTCTCGCATGCTCACCCTGGGTCGCCTTCTCCTGTCGCGCATTCAGCAAGAAGCAGCCTAGGAGATTGCCTGGCGCCCTTTCACACCGCATCTTGCACCCGTGCACCACGGGCTGCTCGATGAGGAAGCCATCTGCGACGCAGTTTTGCAGAGCGCGGGGGATGCTTTTGTTGGTGACTTGAAAGGACTCTGAATCCTGCTCAGAGGTACGCTTTTGTGTGCCGCCTGGTCGGAATTGAGATTGAATTTATCAAAAACTTTCAAACAGAATACAGGTTACAATAGCACACAATGCAAAGAAGGTTGAAAAAAGCTGGGCCCAAATCAGAGAAGAATGATCAGTGGAAAACAAATAAAAGCCAGAATGGTGCACAGAAAGTGGCATTTCTGGATATGAAACGTCCGTATAAGAGAGCCATTTCGCCTGTCGTGCCTGAGATTTGCGTACGAAAGACAAAAGCGCAGCGATCTCAGTCTTGCATCTTCGACTCGGAGCTCAATAACAAGAACAGTTCTTTCAGGCTTACAAAAGGGATGCGCGAAGCCTCAACTTTGGTAAGCACGTAAGCTCAATGCATTTGGAAAAGCGTTGTAAAAGTGCGCTGACACCTGCCGTCCCTTGTAGTTCGATCCTCCTTACACCGTCGCTTGGGCACAATACAGAGCAGGAGTGCCCTCTCTTGATGGAGGAGGGGAAACGGCGGTCCCTCTGACTGTCACCCTTCCGCCGCACTTGCTGCCTCCACCTCTTTGCGCCTCCGACCATCATTGAGAACTATCGACCCCTCTGGCGTGCTGCTACTAGCTTGTCAAGGGGTCCTGCGTCAAGTCCGCAGGATGTAAACGGAGCTGGCACAGTGTTCGTCAATTGTTATCCGCAGCACACTGCAAAAGGGAAATGCCCCTGGCCTGCAGCGGCGGCAACCTGCGAGTCTGGTTGACGCCAGCGTGCGAAGCTGGTTCAGTCGTGCATGCGGATCGTTGACTTTATGAAGCAATGAAGTTTCATTCAAGGGGTGCCGCATATTGTGTGTTTTCCAAATCGGCACCGCCGCGAATGCCATTAACTGTGCGAACGGCCGCCCGGGGCGTTTTGCGCAACGCTCACCATCGAAGTTGCTTCCGAAGTCCTCGAAGAAACCCATGCATGCAATAAAAGCTACAGTTGGAGTAAACTCTACCCCCGGCGTGCTTCATGCATAATGAGACGGTCCAATCGCGACCCAAGTTAAGATGTTACACATAAACGATGATCGACGTTATGAAAAGTCCAGCGGCGAATAGCTGTGAGATCGTGCATGGCCGCTTTGGTCCAACAACGGCTTCGATGGCACTTCCATCCGCGATCAGTTGGTCGTGTCGCGATGACTTATGCTGGCGTATACGATACGTGCTTATGTGCCAGAAACTGTGCATGCCCGGGCGAGATTAGTATACATGGGAGCGCGGCCGGACAGCTTCACTGTACGTGCAATAATTTGCTCAGAGGATATTTTGCCAGTCTCCGCCGAAGTTACATAAACAAGAGGAAGCTCTCTTTACCGAGATGTACATGTACGTGTACGAAACGTGTACGATGTACGTGTACGATGTACATGTACGAAACGTTTCAGAACGGTAGTCCAACCGTACGCTCTTTCAAAGTAGATATTATAAATGACTGTTCAAAGATTACCCTTGTACATCATCAGTTAACCAATAATCTAACCCGGTAACTCAACTCAAGCCCACTCAACGAATCCGCGAAGCAGATCTTTCTGCGCTTCCCTCAATCATCCGCGAGCATGTCCCACAACTCGTCACGAGGCAACTCCAAAGGAAACACACTCCAGTCCCCCTCTTTCTGTACCGTTTCTAAAGACGAGTCAGAACCGCACCATCGGTGACTCTCGATGGAAGCACCCGTTTCGAATGACTGGGCTGATGGGGCGACATTGCCCCGGGGGTCTGCCCCGGGCACTTTGCTCGAGTCACTAAAGCGTGGCGCGTTCCCGGCGACCGTCCCCTGGGACTCTCCCCAGTCTTGCTCTGGCGAAGCGCTCAGGTTCTCGTGCGGTTCCGCCCTTGATTCCGCCCCCAACGATTTCCGCTCAGCCGTCTTTCTCCGATGGTTATTGGCCAATATCGACGTGATCTCATATTCGCCCGCGGACGGCCCGCCGGTCATGTTCGTGGCTCGATCGGGGTGACTCGTCGCCTCGACTAACAGCGGCGGAAAGCCCTCCACTCCGTTTCCCCCTCGGACACCATCACGTGTTTCTGCCCCTCCTCCTCCGTCAAGGGATTGCAGAAACGTCAGAGCGGACCGCATCAGGCTGTGTTGCTGCTGCAAGCGGGCCAGCTGAGGGGGGGTCAGTTCCAGGGACAGGTCGTCCCCCTGCTCGAACTCCAACTGCTGCGCCTCGAATAGCCCCTGAATCCGGTCAACCACCAGCCCCGCTAGAGCCAGATTAGCGGGGTCCGACTTCACCCTGCTTACTTGAGGTTCAGGAATGGAAGGGGGGGTAGAAACCCTGGCTGATGCTCCCCCCTGAAGCGGGGCGCCGTCGTAGCGCCTTTGCCCGCTCCCGAACCCAAGCTGCTCGCGTTTCGCGCGCGCACATGGCCAGCATCTTGCCCACGAGCCTCTTTTCCGCTTCCGCTCGTTCCGGTCCGCCCACAACTCCGTATAAAATCTGTCCGTTGCTGCGGGGATTGCCAGGCCAGGCACGCGCACCGTCGCGCTTTCCAACCCAAACGAGCTTCCCAGTTCACCGAGTGAGCTCCCGTCGGCAGGAATCCCACTCGAACGGAGTGCGCCCAACCAAGTGTCCATCAATCTGTAGTCAAAGTTCGACAGCGAATTCCTCGGGGGTTCCGAAAAGGCTTTCGCAACTGAGCGCTCTAAGTCCGTTAAGAACCCCTTTTCGGGGCTCGCTTTCCTCCGTGACGTTGTGACGTCGAGAAGCGTCTCACAATCGGGTGGGCCTCAGGGTAGAAAAGGCCGGCTGCCTCCGCTCCGCGGCGGCGGTTTGCAAAAGGTTATAGGCAGGGTTTTCAATTGAGCGTTTCACTTGGAATGTCCAAGGCTGACCTCTAGATTGCACCCCTCTTGAAAGGCGCCTTGAGCTGTTCCTATCAAGTTCGGGTTTGGCGTCGATTGACCGGGTTTGGGGTCCGGTTACAAGTTGGGTTAACCGCTAGGATTTGGGGTCACGTCCGCATAGAAATACCAGTACACTCGCCCACCAACTGACCAAATGAGGGGCTATTTTCGGGGGCACCTCAAACGATAAGTCTCAAAGCAGGGACTTTTGATCGGGCTAGGGTTCTGCGGCGCTGGAAGTTGATGACTGCGCGCTTCTCATTCCCCTTGGTGGTCCGTGCAACTTGGCTGTGCGCGCACCTCAGTGATCCCGTCACGCTCAGTCTTGCGTGCGGCGGTTCTGCTTCCACTGAACCTGAAAGTAAAGCAGGTCGATCAGATTAAGATTCAGACAAATTTCTAAGAGCTTGACAAGGGAATGGAACGGGTTCAAGATTAAAAACATCTTTGACGATGGCAGGGAGGTGTGTTTGCTGACACTTTACTGAACTTGAAAGTAAAGCGAGGTTGATCAAACTAGAATCTAGACAATTTCCGAGGGCTTTGACAAGTGATACATGTATGAGCGGGTTCAAGGAAGAAAGGATGTTTTGCTGTGGCGGGGAGGTGTGTTTGTTGGCGCTCTGAACTGCATTAGCTCTGCAGATTGAGATACGCATTCGTGGAATCAACTCTGCAAGTCCTAAACACAAATGAAACATGCTGGTGACATGTGGTATATGAAAGAAGGATTGATAGGGTGATCGAAGGTCTTTTTCAAGGACTAAAATATGCAGACAAGATACCGGTGAGGACTCAACAGGGTGGAGGTAATGGGACAGAAGGATGGAAGATAGAAAGCAGTCTCAGTCTAGGATATTAAGTAGCTCAATGTAAGGCTTGAATGCTGCACCTGACATTACAAGAAACCACAAATCAAGTCTTGGAGCGCACCTATCTGCCTTCTTTGGAGATTCTGACCAGTGTTCTAAAACCAATATAGTGCATGGTACGATGTTCTTTACAACAGCATTCCAACATTGTGTGCAGAATGAAGCTGGGCTCATTGAAGATCCTAGGCAGCTGAACTGACCCGGGCCGTGGCAGCCCGAATTAACATGTGAAAGGATTTGCTATTGCAAACACTCGGATGTAACCTTCACCCAAACAGCATGGCCTACAAAGCCCTGATGCCATTCTTTTAAACAAACATGCCTACAAACAACGTTGCTATTTGTAGGCCAAATAGCATGGCCTACAAACAACGTTGTTTGTTGTTGGCCAAACAACAAATAACAAACAACAACAACAACAACAACAACACTGACAACAATAAACAAACAATCATTGCAAAATGCATAGCGCAATCTGCTTATACCCACTTCTTACTCCATCTCTTGAAAGCATGTGTCTGTCCTTCGGACGCTCATGTGTTAAGAAAGGGTCAAGTATCTTATGCTCTAAAGCCATTCATCCTGATCTTTTCAGAACACAAATCTGTCGACTTTGGTAGAAGAGGAGGTTCAGGGCAAATTCGCCCACGTTTTCCATGATGGGCTGGAACACGCAAGTGGGTCCATTGCGCTACAAAATTCTGGTCTTAGTTGTACTTTTTGAACCCTTATAGAATCTGAAGTAGGGTACGAAGGCTGGAAAGGGTCCATCTTTCAGCGCACTACCCTCAACCTCCAGATTTCTGACACTAAATCTACTCTCAAAATCCTACGAACCAACGCTCCCAAAGTCAAAGGCCTACCTCTTGCAACCAACCAAATCAGCAAGGTTTCCTGGTTTTTGTCAGGCTCATTGCAACCCATAGGTCAACAAGCTTCCGAAAAATGAACCTCCTCAAAATATTTCTTTTCAGCCCAAGAATCACAGTCTGGTCAATCGTCAGAATCCTTTAGCAGTGCGCATTATGACCTGACTTTCGAAGGACTACTATCGGTGAGTTGAAAGCACGCTTCTCACCTTAATCACCAATCCACTGCCCCTTCCGGTCCCAATGATGTCTATCAACTTTTCGATTTTGACGAACCTCAAGGCTTCCCGCCTTATTCGCTTGAAGCCGCAGTTGCGGCAGGGTTGCTCAAAATGCAGCTTGTCACTCCTCCTTCCTCTCAGAACCTGTCCAGAGGCACCATGAACCAAGGTCTTGGTGCAGAGCGAGCTATAGTCAATCAGGAACACGCCAGTTTCCGGTCACTATCAGCTGAAATCCAAGGGTTCATTGTAAGGTGCACCTGATGCGACAAAAGATGCCACCGATCTTGCCACATCTCCTCTAAAGAAAAGCAGAGGAATAGCAAGAGTAGTAGCCTGCGCGCTCAACAACCCTCGGACGAATTTAAGTAATCATGCAGTCAGTTAGGATCTTAGGAGTACCCAGAACCCCATCTTTGAGTACCGTAGCTTCTTCCACGAGCTCGTTTTTTCTTCTTTTCCGAACATTCCGAAGACCGTAGCTCCTGTTAATAGAAATGTTGGCTTTCAAATATCGGCCCCGGAACATGGAATACTTGGACCCCCGGGGCGGCAACTCGGGGCAGGAAAAGTCCATGTTTTATTTCATGAAACATCTTTTAGTTCGTTGAAACGGTTGAAATTCCCTGTTTATTCCAAAACCATCGAATTCCTCACCTCGAAAAAAGTCAATTTGACCTACCCCATGTTTAAAACGACCCCGGGGGGTATGTTTTAAACACGTCTAAACATGTTTAAAACCAGATCTTTTTAATACACGGGGGTAAGTACTAGCGGCCTTCTCTTTTTAAGATTAAATAAATAAAATAAAACATAAACATGTTTTAAACACTTTTTAAACACGTTAAAACCAGTTTAAAACAGGTTTAACCAGGTTTTAAATTTTTTCTCGAAGTTTTAAACAAAACCAGTGGCCATGTTTTAAAACTTACCCCCTGTGTTTAAAACTTGAGTTGCCTACCCGGGCTTGGACCCCAGTATTCTGTATTCCAAGGTTTCTAAAAGGCGGTATTCCGTATTCCAAGGTGCTCGAGTATTCTGTATTCCTTTTTTGAAATGTCCATTATGACTTTTTTTTGAGTACGTAAGAGTCGCGCGGGAATTGTATATCCATGTAGGGCTTTTTCTTGTTCATTGTATGCTTTTGAAGGTCTTTCTACTTCGAGACCGAGTAGATTGCCATTATTTGCAACATCTTGTGTAGTATGCTCGGGAAAACTCTGTATTCTGTATTCTAGTATTCCGGGGGCCAAATTTGGGTATTCCGGATTCTTTTGCTTCCAAAAAGCGGTATTCCGTATTCCAATATTCCATGTTCCGGGCCCTATCAAATAGTATCTTCCACGTCACAGCAGGACAGGGCCAGGACTCGGAGTGGTTCGAAGGTTCGACTGTGAGATCCAGTTCACTGTTTAATATCGCACATTAATTTTACTAGATGGAACGCTGCCAGCAGCTAATCCCAGCAGCATCTAGTTCCAAATTCCAAAGCTGATACTGCAAGATCCGCTCGACAGTACTTTCTGACCGTTCTCGTCTTGTAAGTCTGTCAGACAGTGACCGGCCGCTAATATAGGAGTCAGTCTCGCACACGCCATTGACAAGTTTGCTGACGGAGATGCTTACGTTGTCAAGTGTCCAGCACAGGTGCGCAGTGCCGCACACTGCGAAACCTACTCACCAAATTAATCAGCTGTGCAGTGGCAAAAGCTGCTTCGTTCAGGCAATGATTGCCAAGTGACGCGGCATCAGCAACTACAGTCACAACAAACTGAAGTTGTTAACCAAGGGTAGTTGCTGGCTCAAGAGAGACTAGCAGCTGCCAGTGGGTGGGTGGTAGTGGGTGTCCACGTTTGAGAGCAGACGGTAAACTTGATAAAGCCGTCGCGGTTTAGGTGTTACGTAGCTTTCGGGTTCGCAATCCTGAATTAATTCAGGTACGGTGGGCCGGCCGCGTGGCGACATCGCCGCACGCTGCATATCACGTACGCGGAAAGCCGGATCTTCAAAG